GGGCATTCGGAAGTAGCTGGTGGAGCCCGAGGTTTTGTTGTCGCATCAGTCTGGCAGGCTCTGCTGTACAGCAGAGCGAGCTTTCTGTGCTGTCACACCTCAGGGAGAGGGAGCTGCCCAGGCACACCCCACACAGCACGGGTACAAGTCAAAGGGCAATGGGGAGGTGACATCGCCGGGTCGGACACAGCAGCGTTTTCTCCTCAGACCTTGTGCAGGGAATCAGAGAAGCTTGGTTACCCCGGGAGACTTGTTTTCATTGCCAGGCTGGAAGTACCTTTGACAGAAACATGGATGCTACAGGGGAAAGGCCACCTCTGTTCCCTTCCCCTGTCTCTGTGGATGGCTAGGTCACAGTGGCTGAGCATGCACAGAGCCTGTTCTTTGGGGAGCAGGAGCTGTTGGGGCCTAACAAAGGAGCAAAGCACCACACAGCTGCCTGCTCACTGCTTCTCATTCTCTTTGAGACAAGGGAAGAGGAAAAGGAAGAATAACCCAAGAAAACTCGTGAATTGAGATAAAAATAATTCAGGAAGCAGTGAGAAAGAGATGCAAAGGCTCTCACTCACCACCTCCCATGGCTAATCCATTGTGCAGCTAGTTCCTGAGCAAAAGATGACAAACCCACCTACCCCTGCCCCCCATTTTGTTATGTGACATGGAATACCCCTTTGGTTAGCTCAGGTCATTGCCTGCTCGTGGCCCCACGCTGCCTCCTCTGCACTTACAGTATAGTCACATCTGAAACACAGCACCGCAGAGCTGCTAGAAGGAAAATTAACACCAGAAGGCTGTGCTGCCATTCAGTGAGACCTAGACAGGCTGGAGAGCTGAGCAGGGAGAAACTTTAATGAAACACAACAGGGGCAAGTGTAGAGTTTTGCATCTGGGGAAGAACAACCCCATGTACCAGTACAGGTTGGGGGCTGACCTGCTGGAGGGCAGTGTAGGAGAAAGGGACCTGGGGGTCCTGGTGGACAGGAGGATGACCATGGCCAGCAATGTGCCCTTGTGGCCAATGGCATCCTGGGGTGCATCAGAAAGGGTGTGGTTAGTAGGTCAAGGGAGGTTCTCCTCCCCCTCTATTCTGCCTTGGTGAGGCCACATCTGGAATATTGTGTCCAGTTCTGGGCCCCTCAGTTCAAGAAGGACAGGGAACTGCTTGAAAGAGTCCAGCACAGAGCCACAAAGATGATGAAGGGAGTGGAACATCTCCCTTATGAGGAAAGGCTGAGGGAGCTGGGTCTCTTTAGCTTGGA